TCCCTTTTGAGATCTATCGACGATGCTACCATATCCTCCCGAAGTTTTCTCTTAATCGCACGTTGCAAGCTCCTGGCAAGCTGTAAATTGTGCGCCACAGCTTCACGAAGCTTCACATTCTCCTCCTCACTACTCTGTCGCAGTACCGACTGTCGAATTGCAGTTTTCTCCCACATCTGCGAAGATTCCATTTTGCGCGATGATAGTGGAGCAGTAGCTCCAATAAATGTGTCTGCTCCTGGAAGTGTCGAGCGAACACCTGCCGCTAATTTGACTTGCTGATGCTGAATCGAGAGCTCCTTGGCGATCCTCCGTAGTGCCAAAAGTTCCTCTTTACGTCGCTGTCTCCACGATTTCTTCTCTGGTTTGGAGGGCGTGTCGGCCTCAACAACTCCCTTCGGTGACGACTCTGTGGTGCCGATGACGTCGTCATTCGGCATTTCAATGTCAGCGAGGAATTCCAACACGGACACTTCATCCATATCCATGAGAAAGATGTCACTTGAGGACGTGGTTTCCATCTTTTGCCAGTCGCAGAATGAAGTGGTTAAACCGTTTGGACTGAACGCGAACACGAGCGATAATCATTTTGAACGAAACCCCGAATAATCACATTGTGCTGAAGGCTTCAGAGTCAACTAATCAGCCAGCTTACGACAAACGATACGTTTCGTTGGGTTTGCCCTTCGTAAACGCCAGGTTGAACACAATATTTGATACTGCAATCTATAATATGCAACGAGTAATTCGAAGTAACTTTGCGAACAGGACGGAGTTAAAACCGTATTCTTAACTCAGTGCCCGGATTAACTGATCCTCTACTCTGTTGTTGTAGCGTGTGATGTTGTCTTCCCAGTTCTTAACGCCAATATCCAGCGTAGGATATTTTGTCCCGTCAAGAATAGTCAAATCCCCGTGGATTGTTGCTTCGCGGTGAGTCTGCATTACTGTTGTGGGTCCTAGCGCTGACAGATCTCCACGTTTCAAGACCTGGCGACTCGTCTCGATAAGCGAGATCGACATTTCCTCGTAAATTGGCTGAATCAACGTCCGCTTAATAAACACCGTTCTGCCATTCTCGGTATATTTCCGCGTCACTGACCGCATAACCACGCGGAAATCGATCCCCTCCATCGTGAACGCGAACGCCATACTCTGCATCTGAGTGTTGTTCCCGGCAGTGAAGCTCTGCAAAGATACAAATAAATATGAGCTTCAAGTCGACAACAGACTAATAAATAGTATCGTACCTGCAAGAAACACAGACTATCGTTGACCGACCGATCCTCTTCGGGTGTCCAGATTGCACTCGTTGTCTGACGCACATCAAACGGCAGTGCGTAGCTGTCTAAAAACTCCACAAATGTCCCCTTGGACACTCTACTTATCGCAGTATTATTTCTCCGTCCTGGACATGACAGCGTGTGCATTCCTGCATGCTCGAAGAACTCGTCCACGCCGTGGTAAACACTGTCGATTCCAGCCAAAAGCTTGTCGAACACCTCCTTACTGTCAAGAGGAGGGGTCATTCCTCTGGTATTCAGTCGATTCCGTTTGATGAACTCCAGCGACGATGAGATCATATCTTCCCTCAGTTTCCTCTTAATGGCACGCTGCAGACTCTTAGCTTGTTGTATATGATGCGTCACGGCTTCACGCAGCTTGGCGTTATCTTCTTCGCTGCTTTGTCGAAGCATCGACTGTCGCCCTGCGATTTTCTCCCACATTATCGACGCCTCTGTCTTGTGGCCTGCTTGTGCCCTCTGCACAAACTTGGGTGCTGTTTCGATAGCGTTTGGGAGTGTGGAATGCACTCCTGCCGCCATTTTGAGCCGTTCAAGCTCAGTCGAGAGCTGCTTTACGACCTCACGGAGGTGCAATACCTCCTCCTTACGTCGCTGTCGCCATGACTTCTTCGCTGGCGCTTTATCAGGTGAACTGACGGAACTGGAGCTATCGGACCAGGTAGGTGTTAACGCATCGCATTGCGTTGGTGTAGAGGTAGCGGAGATCGATGGCTGGACAGCAGCTTCATTCTCCACCTCGCAGTCGGCCAGGAACGCCAACACCGACGACTCATCCAGTAGAAAATCGTCCTCTGGGCTTGGCAGCATCGCAGATATCCTTGATGTTCAAAGGACGGTTGAATTGTCTTAGCAGTCGACAGGAGCTGAGCTGGTGTGACTGCTCCTAACTCTGGCGGTAAGTTACGGCCACATGGGCAATCATTTTGAACGGAATAGAGTGTAATCAAAGAAATCCAGGAATATTATGTGGACCACAAATGCAATGTACCTCGTTTGGTTTTAGGATATTGAAGTAGTTTAGTATCAAGATGGTCGAGCTTCTTTTTCTCGTTGGCAACAATTCAATCTAGAAAAGTTTAAGCTTGGGAGCGGCTGCTAGTGCACAATAAGGATCGTTGTCTGCGAATAACTTGTCCACTTTCTCC